TTTAATACTTTCAAGCTCTTTTTTTTTTTTTTTTTGGCCCATTTCTCCTCAGTTCGGCCATCATAGTTTTGCCATCCTGGCCTCCTGGGCTCACAGGACGCTTTGCAAGAGTGCTGGGTTTGGGAGACAGAGGGAGGAATCCGGAGACACTGGGGCTTCTGCACTGCCTGGATTGGTGGGCAAGCCAGGTGGGGTCTTTTGGGGTGTTTCTTACCTTTACCTCACTCCCCCCAAAATCTTCTTTTTTTTTTAGAGATTTTCACTGTAGGGCACGTGCGCTCACCAGACAGACAGAGAGAGACATAGAGACAGAAAGCGAGAAATCACCCCCCAGGGGGGATGGTCACGCCACAATCCCTTCTCCTCCATTCTCCTCTTGGGATCTTGGGCACGCACGCACACGCGCCCGGCATGAGTTTTAAGCCACCGGGTCCGGGACACGAACCGCGGTCGACTACGTGGGAATCCAGCGACATAGCCATTACGCTAACTGCTGGTTCCCAAAATCTTCTTTTTTAAAAGGAGATTTGGATTGTCACTCTGAGGTGTACATTTAAAACTAATTCCAGGAAAACATCTTGGCGGGGGAGGGGGGGGGCTCAGTGCTCTTGCCATGGTCAGGCAGAATACCTGCATAGGGGCAGTGGAGTGTAGACAGAGGATGGAGGCTGCAGGATCCCCACAGAGTTCCAGTTCCACAGGAGGGTAAGGGGTACCGGCAAGGCCAGGTAAAAACAAAGGACCGAACCAGGAGCTGACAACTCCAATCTGGGCTCCATGATTTGAAGAAAGGCCTAAGATCCGAAATACAGCACACGTGTGTCAAATCCAGATGTCTCCCTCCCTGGGGAAGTCAGCCTTGGGGTTCAAGAGGCCTCCATACCAAGGCGTCTTCAAACAGCCCAGGTGGAAAATGAAGTTATGCTCAGAGTGGTTTTCTCCTGGATGTAAGTCATCCTGTTAGAACGGTCCACCTGGCATCTGGGTGTAAAGTTAACATCAACATTAAAAAAATGACCACAAACAATTTTAAGTTCTACTTGAGGAAGTGTTTCAAGGGAGCAGATCTGGTGTCTGCAATTTACTCTGGAATACAGTTGAGAGCAGGAAGACAGACTGACCTAGGAGGTGTGGCTGCAGGGACAGATCTGTGATGAGCAAGTGCAGTGAAATGTCAGCTACAGGGTTCCAGGATCTGGGCTGTGTGTCACTGTAAAATGTGTTCAGTTTTGCTATGTCTGAAAGTTGAATATTAAGGTGTTGCCCCCCCCCCCGTTCTAAATAAAACCTGCAACCAGTCAGAGTCTCCTTCTCTCATTAAAATAACTTACAGACCTGTTTATTTATTAAGTCAGGCAAAGGAAAAAATCTTGAAGAAGAGATTCAAGAGATAAAACCAGTAATAACACTTTAATATAGATCCGTGAAACTCTGGCCCTTGTGGCCAGAATACACATTTATAAACCATAAATAAAGCACGAAGAAACCATAAATTAATCAGACCCGAGACCTGGATTTCACCGTGTGGAGAATGGGAATGCATTTTTTTTGTTTGTTTTCCTTGGTCGTTTACAACAGACCCTTACATTATTTTTTTCTCTCGTTAACAATAGTACAACCGTCTGGTTCTCTGTTAAAACTACATGGTTTGACACTGAGCCACTCACAAAAGTTTCTTTTTCAAAAGTAAGACTTCCCTGCAACAACAGCGATGGAGAACAACAACAACAAAAAACCCAGAATCTGCAGGTGCTTAAAGAAGCAGGAGTCTACACAGTAGTGGAAGCTGGAAGGTTTTTTTTTTTTTCTTTATATTTTCCCCTGTCCCTCCTTATGTAGAATGATAGGTATTGGTGTGGCCCATCTGTTTGGGAGGGAAGGGCTGCAAAGGCTGATGGGAGACTGCTGTCCTGAGGGTGGGTGTGTAATGGAGTTCTTCTCCCTCGCAGCTGTCAAGCACCCCCTCCCTGAATCTGGACCCCACTTCCTCTCTCTCTTGTCCTGGTCCCGGGCTGCTAGAGCTAGCCGGGCCTGAAGCTGTCTTCTTAAGAGGAGTTCATAATGGGTCGGGAGTACACCCCCTGGTAGTAGGAGGTGTCTGCAGTCAGGGGCGAGGCGTCCAGACCCGTTTTGTTCGTGACGGGGCCCATGGCCAGGCTGCCGGGCATGGGGGAGCCGTAGCCCGGGTAGTGCATCACCTGTTCGTAGGCCTTGAGGTCCATTTTGTGGGGCTGGTGGTGGTGGTGGCTGTGGTGGTGCTGCTGCTCCGAGGACATGAGGTTGTTGATGGAGAAGGGGTGGTTGAAGGCGTAGTGGTGCTCGGGCTTCAGGTGGGCCTCAGGTGGCAGGCCCGGGTGGTGGGGCGGGCCCAGCAGGTGCGCGGCGGCTTGCTGTTGCTGCCCAGGCGAGGGTGCGGGCTCCGGGGGACTCAGCGCCCCAGCCGGCGGCCCCTTCAGC